GGGGAGTTTCGGGGGTCCGGGCGGGGGACTCAAGAGCCAGAGGGGAGGGGGCCGCGGGTTTTCATGTACCCAGCATGAGCTCCTACTTCGTCAACCCCCTGTTCTCCAAATACAAAGGCGCGGAGTCCCTGGAACCGGCCTATTACGACTGCCGGTTCCCTCAGAGCGTGGGCAGGAGCCATGCGCTGGTGTACGGGCCCGGCGGCTCGGCGCCCGGCTTCCAGCACGCCTCGCACCACGTCCAAGACTTCTTCCACCACGGCACCTCCGGCATCTCCAACTCGGGCTACCAGCAGAACCCGTGCTCGCTTAGCTGCCACGGAGACGCCTCCAAATTCTATGGCTACGAGGCGCTCCCCAGACAGTCCCTTTATGGGGCTCAGCAAGAGGCGAGCGTGGTGCAATATCCCGACTGTAAATCCTCCGCCAACACTAACAGTAGCGAAGGACAAGGCCACTTAAATCAAAACTCGTCTCCCAGCCTCATGTTTCCATGGATGAGACCCCACGGTGAGAAGCCTTTTCTCTTTCCCCCTTGGTCTCCCGCGCTCCGGGGTCTTCCCCCCTCCCTCGCCTCCTTTTTGTCTGCCCTCGCTTTCCCTCCTGGCTTTGGGGTCTCTCCCGCCCCACCCCTGTGCCTGGGTGGGTTTCTGGAGGTTGGGAAGGCTGGACTGGGGGTGGGGTGGAGGGGCGCTTGGGACATTTTTGGGATGGGGATGAGGGTGGGAGAAAGGTGGTGCAAAGGGTTAAAAATCCGTTTCCTCCATCTCTGTGGTCTCTCTGTCTCTCCCTCTCCCCATCTCTGAAGTCAAAGTGGAGGTGGCTGGGAAGGGTACCCTGAGTACCCTGACGTTATTAGCCTTGGGAGCAAACCAGGTTCTCCAAAGGCAGAGTGCCCGGAGTCCAGGACAGTGGCCAGACTATCTTGGGGCAACAGAGACCCCTGTTTCTCTCCCCTAGCCAGAAAGTGACAAGACCCCAAGGACAGGCTCTGTGGCTCTCTAGGGTACCCACTACCTCCTCATAGAGAACTACCCTGAGGGCCACTACCCCAACTTTTCTGTGCTATATCTCCAGTTGGAGAGAAGAGAGAGCCTGAGAAAAATGGGGGGAAGAGTGCTCCAAAAGAGAGGGACCATACAGATTAGGGGTCTCTGAGGTCCAGGGGACCATAACCAAGCTATTCCCCCAGTCAAGGGCTTGTGGGATCTCTCTGAGCTTTGCAGAGCGGCTGAGGTCATGAGCCCCTCCAAGGGTGGCCCCTCATGACCCAATTTCGAAGTACAGGGGGAAGCGATAAAGCGACAAGTTCCGGCGGGGATGGCCCATGATTTATTTGCTGGTCTCCAGTTAGCAATCAGGCGAAGCAGTGCTACATTCCAGGAGATCAATTTTTTTCTTATTGGAAAAGCATTAGGCAGAGAGAAGCTAGGAGGGGGCAGTGGGCAAAGTCCCTCTTCTTTTCCCCCAGCTCTATTTCCTTTCTTTTGGAAACACTCTGTCCCCAGCCCTGCTGACTAAATACCACTCCGCACTTGTAAACAAAGCTGCAAGGGCCAGTTTCCTGAGACTGTAGGCCTTGGGGGGGGGGGACACTGCTGGGCACCCCTGGTTCCTGCAAGCCCGCAGTTTCTAGATGGCTCCCAGTCCCTGCCCCCACCCCACCCCACCCCACCTCCCAAAGTGAAGCCAAACCAAAACAGTCCCCCAAACTTTCCTGCTCTAGCCCCTGTCTTCTTCTGCCTTTTCCACTGGAAGGAGGAGATCTGGGGAGATCAGAGGGGGGTCTTTAGGAAAGGAAGAGTGGCAAGAAAACCCGAGCCCCCACCCAAACATAACCAGACTGGGGTTCTGTTCTGTCTAGCTCCGGGGCGGCGCAGCGGTCGGCAAACTTACAGCCGGTATCAGACCTTGGAACTAGAAAAGGAGTTTCTCTTTAATCCTTATTTGACACGAAAGCGCCGGATTGAAGTCTCTCACGCTCTGGGACTGACGGAGAGACAAGTGAAGATCTGGTTCCAGAACCGAAGAATGAAGTGGAAAAAGGAGAACAACAAGGATAAACTGCCCGGAGCCCGAGATGAGGAGAAGGTGGAGGAAGAAGGAAATGAGGAAGAGGAGAAAGAAGAGGAGGAAAAGGAAGAAAACAAGGACTAAGCAAAAAAGAGAGATTTCTCCCCTTGTAGCAACTCCCTTGAAGTTTTGTTTTATGGTAGCAGATAAATTGAGAAGTTTACGACTGTCATTTGCTTTTATAGAGAATAGAATGACACTCACAACTCTAACTACCTGTCAGATACTTGCAGCTCTGGTTTTATTACCTTTGGACTTCCCCCGCTCTTTATTTGTTTGGGGGCCAGAGAGGGGAGACGGAGACACAGCAGAAAGTTCGGACTCTGTCTCACTCCTGGCCCCAATGCACACTTGTCCCTGCCCCCCCCTTCTGAGTCCTTCCTGGATTTTAAGGTCTGAGACCTGGCCTCCTTGCCCCCCTCCCTTCTTGTCACACTCCCACCTCCCTGCTTCTCTGGTATTTATTTTAGAGGTGAGTCCCCTCAAAATGCAGAAGAAAACTCCTGGCTTTGCTTTCAGGCTGGGATTACTGTACTAGATTTCATTTTCTTAAAAGGAAAGGGAGGGGAAAAAAGAAAAAAGCAAGGAAAAAATGGTAAAGAAATGAGAAAAAGATAGCAAAAAAAAAAAAAAATCCCCTCTTCCTCTCTGGGGCTCCCTGCTTAGAAAATCCCCCTTGACTTTCCCTGGGAGTCTGATGGAAACCTGAAGGAGATGTGGGTCTCCTCCCTGCCCCCATTCCATGGGGTAGACAGGAACCTGCAGTTACCTCTAAAATCCTACCTAGCCATCCCATCCCGGGGTCACTGGGGCCCATGCCTCCTCTTCTTTGCTCTTTGATTTCTGTTCTGTTGGGCCCCCCCCCGACTTCCTCTGAGCTGCATTAGTGTTAGTGCTCAGAAGTCGCCATAATCATGAAGATGATAATAATAATAATACTGATAACAAATCTTTAACATACTACCTAAAGGGAACCTGCAATAATCTTGAAAAAGAAAAGAAAAAAATTAAAATCCTACCATAGGAGAAAAAAAGAGAAAAAAAAAGAAAAATGAAAAAAAGAAAGAAAGAAACCTCCAACGTATTTTATCACTACCTATAGAAAGAAATCCTGCTTTGAGAGTATTCGTAATGCGGTTTTGTTGTCGTTTGTCGCTGCTTACTTCACTAAGAAAACCCAACAACTGAGACTGCCTAGCCCGCCGGTCCTGTGCGCTTTTATTGTGCTTCTAACCCCAGTAGAGTAGAACTAAATTGCACTGAATGTATAGTTAACTCTGTCTTGAATTCTCTGTTTATGCAACGTGCTCGAAAGAAAAAAATGGTAAAATATATCTATAATAATAATTTTTGGTCATTTGTCTTTATGTCCAGCTATGAATGTAGATTTTGTGTCCCAACAGCCCTGTTCCTGGTCCAAGTACTTTGTATTGTATACGTGAGTCATAATAAAAAAAAAAAAGGAGAAAAATATCTGAAGCTGGAATGACTTGTTTTCTTTCCACAACTCTTCCCCATTCTCCACCCCTCCCCTCCTTATCCCCATTTTCCAACACTCTGGAAAAGGTCTCCACCACTGACCTGGCTTTGGGGGTGGGAGAACTCACGTGGTGAAGCCTGGGAGTTGAGAGGGCCTGGGCTGGGAGGGCAGGTGGAAGGGATGGGGGGCTGAGAGGAGGAGGAGGAAGAGGAAGAGTCCATTGGTAGGGAGAGGAAGGGGTCTGTCAGTATGCTGGGGGGAGGGAATCTTGGCTCCAAACAAAGTGTCTTTCTAGATGCCAGGACCCCATTAGGAAGAAGATCTCACTCCTCTACCTTCCTCCTCCTCAGCTCAGGACTGGGCCCAGACAAAGAATCTGCCCCATGCCCTCCCGCAGTATTTCTTCCAGAGGTTGGGGCTTTGGATAAGGCAATGTGTTTTTTTCTGATCTCCATATGCCCCTTGTGGCCAACCCTTGACACCCAGCACCCAGCACTACTAGAATGAAGAGGGTGGGGGGAGTATGAGGCTTAAGCAACTGACCTGTCTGGAGGGCTTGGCTGGAAGATATCTAAAGGTGGGGGACAGTAAGTATGGAGGATGAGGACGCCTGAGTCTGTAGGAAAGGAGAGGAGAAAGAGAAAGCCAGTGAGCTGGTAGACTCACCAGCCTGGGTCCACATTGTGAAATTCAAAACCAGGCTAGTGCAGAGCCATGACTGTCACTCAGCCTGCTTGTGCCCACTTTAGCCTCTGTTTTGGCTGTTGCAGACCCATTCCCAGCTTTACCTTGGCGGTTGGGCAACTGGTCAGGCTCCCATGGTTGAGGGCCATTGGCCAGGGGGGATGGGCCTGTCCAGTGAACAGTCCCCACCCTTACCACAGCAGGATAAGGGCAGTCTCTTTTGAAATTTTCATTTCCTAAAATAAGGAGTTGAAGGTTCAGGGACCCAGGGGACAAAGGGGTCTCTCACTTCTCTCTGGAGGGTCCTAGACAGAGAAATCTGTTTATGCCAATAAGATTCTGGTCAAATAATTCCAAATTCCAGAGATGCAAATCTTCTGACTCAGCTAGGAGTGGAGGAAAGGGGAGGGGTGGGGATCTCCTGGTCTTAAAAACCAGACCCCCAAAGACTGAGATATTTTTGAAACCAGATTTCTTTTCTCAATCTCTCTCTCTCTTTTCTCTCTGCCTCTCTCGCTCCTTCCTTCCTGGTCAGTGATTTTCCCAGACCTAGGCCCAGGCCAACTCTTGTTTCCTGCAACTTCAACTGGGGTCCCAGTTTCTGGTTCCCATGCACAGTGGTCCTGTGTGGAGGATTGGGTCAGGCGGTGTAGAAGCGAATTTTCACAGCCAGAAAGGCTGTGGTTGCAAGCGCGGCAGGCAAACGCAGGCTGTGGGAGAGGCAGGGACAGCGTTGAGCAGGAGCTCCAGGGGAAATCTACCTGAACCTGGGGTCTCAGCTGTCAACTGTGGCGCCAGCCAGGTAACCCGGTTTGCTGCAAGAGATGCTGGCTGCTTGCCAGGGAGGCCTGAAAAGAGGGCATTTCGCTCTCACCTCAGGCCTCCTCGCGGGGCGTCCTGTTCATACGCCGAGGGTTGTTTCATTTTTAACCGTGGAATTATGATTGCTATTAATAAATATCTGGCCCAGTAGCCAGCGGGATGAACCCTGCATTAAGTGGCTCTGAAGGGCCTTGCTGCTTTTTCCCCACACCAAATACCCCATTCATCCCTGGCCCTGCTCAGCAATGTCCGTGGCCCCAAGCCCGGCGGCGCGTCGGAGGGCGGGGTGCGTCTGGCGCCCGGCTTCGCTTGAGATGCCGGGCTTCCAGAGGGCCAGACTAAGGGAGCCCCAGCCGCCCCCTCATGCAGCACCCGCTCCTCTGCCCCTCCTGCCCACCGCCTCTATTTTCTCGTTTGAAATAAAAGGAGGTAAAAACCCGTTTTATGAGGGAAAGTAATTGCGAGCGGGATGCGCTTTCTTTAGAAACGCGTCCTCCCAAATGCTCCCGCCGTCCCATTACCGGAATGGGGACCATTCGGTTGCTGCAGATAGGACTTACTTCTATCCTTTACTTTTTTATTAGCCAATCAAAGTGGCTTCCGAAAGCTATTTGTGATTTGTGAAAAATAGTATCTTTCAAAATGCTGAGTTGAAGCATCTCGCTCATTTCGCCTTGAATTTATTATTCTAATCTCAACCGTAGAGACGGGATAATGCAGCTATTAAGTTGGGGGGCAAATTCGTTTCTCTGGGTTTATTTTCATGGCCTGTTCTCTCCCTCCCTGCTCCTTCCTTGCAGAGGCTGAGGGAGGTGCAGGCCTGCAAGAGATCTTGGGGCTAGGGATTGGCAAGTGAGGTGGTAAGCACCTTGAAAGGCTCCTTGAGGACCTTTGGATGGGAGAATGGGCTGGCCTCCCAGTCTCATCTTCCCCAAAAGAGATGCCCCAGCGACTGCCGGCAGGCTGGGAAAGTTGCCCCTGCCCCAATTAGAGACAACTCAGAACAGGTTGTGCCACAGACCAGCAGTAAAATTTCCGGTGAGCTGCCCGCAGCGCTGTCCCATTCTCCCGCTGCCCATTGTGAAAAGCTGGGCCAGCGCTTCCTCCTCGTAATTTTTAACTACCTGTTATAAAATTTATGGGTGGGTTTGTAAAAGAAACGAGATCCCTGCATCCGGCTGAGGGAACTGCTTTGCTTACTATGGAGGAAGTTTGGGGAGGGGGTGAGGGAACCCTCATTGGTTAGGGTGGTGCCAGCTTGATGTGAGACCAAGGGGAGAGATGCCGGCCTTAAAACCTCCACTAGAATTTATTCTGAGCTCCCGGTATTAGACTCACCATCATAATTGGGAGTGTGGAGCAATGGGGTGCTCTGAATTTTAGCCCAGAAGGTGTCATTCGGGGCAGTAAAAGGTTCTTGTTTTAGGGCCTCAGGAGTACATCCCAGCTATCCAGACACTGAACCCCGGAAAATTTTTCTGAAAAAAGCAGATAGGCAATCTGACAAGACAAAAAAAAGCTTCAAACTGCCTTGCCCGACCCCGCCTTGCCTCAGGAAGTAGGGCCAAAATCTTGGGCCTTAATTTTATTTTTAATTTTAAAAAGATATCCAGTAAGTTGCCATTTGAACCTAGGAGATGAGGCCAGCTGATGCTCAGCATGGTTTTAGGTAGAAATGTCATTCTTTCTGAGAAAGGGACCTGGAGATGAGGTTGCTTTGAGGGTCCTTGAGGCTGTCCCAAATTCTCCTCCCTCTTGCTGCCTCCGCATGACTGCTCAGGGCCGGTCTAGTGTCCCCAGCTCTTCACACCACTGCTAGGGCAGGCTTGGTTGGGAGGTTGCAAGCGGCCTGTGACTCCTGTTCCTGTTTGGGGTGCAGGGGGGTTTCTTGGGGCACCCCAGTAGGAAGGATGTTGCTTGCTTCCTAGAAAAAAAAACAGGTAAGAGTAGGAAGGGCATCCATCCCTTTTCAGTCCCTTCACTCCACCAGCCTCACCATGCCTGCCTCACCCGGTTAGCCATCACTGCCCGATGGCCACAAATCTTTGCAAAGCATTGATTCTCCCAGAGCCAACCTCAATACCCCCATTTATTAAGGAAAATAATTTAAAATTCGGCACAGCAAGGAAAGGCAGACGACCCCCAGCGCCTGAACCCTTCCTTCTTTCCTCTGATCTCCCCTCTGCTCTTTGAGCGCTGGCCTGGAGCAGCCTGGCCCGTGGGGAGTGGGCGGTGGGCGATGGTCGGTGGGTGGGGGTGGGGTGGGGGTCGGAGATGCTCCCTCTCTGAGAGAATTGGGTAAACATGGCGACCGCGGCGCCCATTTGCACACGCTACACAAATGCATCGCATTCCCGGTTGTTTGCAGAAAATTTACAGCTGAGTAATAAAAGTTTACGATCGACTCACAAGTTGGATTGGCCACAAGAAGTCATGTGGATTCCATCCATGAACGTGAACTTTTTATTGTGGTTTGTCCGTTCGGAGCGCTCCGCAGAACAGTCCTCCCTGTAAGAGCCTAACCATTGCCAGGGAAACCTGCGCTGGGCGCTCCCTTCATTACCAGTATTTTTTTTTTAATTAATCTGATTAATAATTATTCCCCCCCCATTTAATTTTTTTCCTCCCAGCTGGAGTTGCCGGAAGCTGGGGGCACCTGGGGAGGGCGGGAATGGGAGGGGAGAGGCTGCAGTTGAGGGCATCTCTCCCTTCCCGACCGTCTGGCCCCCAAGGGGCAGGAGGAATGCGGGAGC